TTCTCTGATATTTTCATTAATTACTATGATCAATCAACATAAAATCTTTGAATTATGAAATTTTCTGGATTACATACTGTAATTTTTGACAGTAGTAAAGCCTCGTTTTTAGCTACATGCAAACGACGTTTTTCAACTTGCTTAAAAAATAATGAACATTAATATTTTTGTTGCAAAAACTTCTAAAAATATGATACTTCTGGAATATCTGGCTGTATATAAACACTTGTGTTTTATAAAATTAAGTCTTATGAGACTTAAATCACCATAAACTCTTTGTTTCTCTTTGCACACATGATTTGACTAGTCACAGGAATAAAAAATATTTGAATGTTGTGTGTATTATCCATGGATTTTCTTATAATATTAGTTACACTTTTTACCTTACGCTTTCCTTCAGTAAATCTTTAATTTATTCTAAAAATTAACAAAATATACATAATGCAGACAGTCAAAAGGCGCAAGTCTGGAGGTGTTTGTATTTGAAAGTGCAGGTGTTTCTAACAAGAAGATTCAAAAATAAAGAAAATGGAGTTTGTTAGTGTTTGGGTTCTTTTTATCGTAATGGTTGTCTTACCACAATCAGGTATCAATTTTGATATATATGTCACAAGCTTGTTATTAATTGATTAGTGTTTCAAAACTAAAACATGAGTAATATCTCCTCACTTTAACAGATCAACAAAGTAAATCAAATCATTTCAAAATCACCTGCAAGCAATGAAGCAATTCTTTCCACACATCCAATTATGTCAAAAAAGCTCATAACAGGAAAAAACCCAGCTATATATGAATAGCAAATGCACGTAGCAATATTTTCATTTACCAAACACAGAAATTTGTGAGCGCTTGTCAAAAACACTCCCACAATATTACAATATGCCCGTCAATTTTAGAAATGGTTCTTTTACGTCTTTTACGACAGATAGAAACAAGCAGACGAGTACTGTTTTTGAAAAAGGCTTCTTTTCGGATAATTATACTAAAAAGCTAAAACTGCAATATGCACAATACAAAAATAATGACACATTTATTTTATGAACTACGAAGACAATGAAGTATGAATGAAAATTGAAAAACATCAAAAGACTTATGAATTACTAATATATTTAAACACTTATGTAAGCTAATTAAATTATCAGTCAGGAAGCCGCGCATTCGCAACAGGTCAGCTCACAGCGTGAATATCGGAAAAGATGTCCAGGAAGAAAGTCTTGTGACTGAAGGGTAACCTAAGCATCGCTTTTTGTTTTCAATTATTTCATTATTTTGCAAGAAAATTGGAGTATAGGACTCCTCCATTCACTTCTATGACTGATGACTGGAACAATTACCATGAAACTTCAACAAGTCTCGTTTGATTTAAAAACTTTGTATTATGAATAACCAACTAGAAAGACTAATGAGATACAAATATATTGAACACTTACATAAGCTAACAAAAACATCTAACTGCGTTTAATTGGTGTATTGATCTATTAATTCTCAAGGGTTGGTGATAGCTGACGTCTCAACTTTTAACAGATGAAAAAAGGGCGAAAGTAAACAAAATTAAATGACGGAGAATGCAGCGTCATTATTTGTGCTCAATATCATATTGACAAAGCTGTTTTCTGTGTTTTATTTAACGATTTCGGTCGAAACACTATCAGTTTCAAGTGAGAGAGAGAGAGGATGGAACGGTCCATCAAAAGACTAGAGACTGCTCGACAAAACGCGAAGGTGGAGGATTCGCGAAGGTGGAGGATAAATTTTTGGGCTTTGTCTATTTAAACACTAAAAAGCTAATCTCGTTTCGCAGAACGTATATGTCCACACATGCTTATTTGCTTTGATTTCCTTTTCTCCTTATAACCAAGGTTGCAGTACATTCAAAGGACGGTGAACAAATCACATTGAAATGTAATAAAAACGACAGCTTTCATGTTTTGCTTGTTGGTGGAGTCCAACTCAACGAACTTATCGCTCATCATGGTCCGTTCGTGATGAACACGTGGGAGGAGATAGATCAAGCCATTCGTGATTACCACATTGAGAAACTGGGAAAGATCGATGGTGCTGAAGAAAGATATGCTAAAACCGAGAAGACTGTTCGTCAGCAGAAAAATACGGGCAATTGGCACAAGTAATTTTAATTTCATAATTGCAGCTTCTTAAATGTAAATACTACTAATTCTATGGCACTTCATATATGTTAACTTACTCGTGAAAAGGATTTTCTGTAGTCGCCATGTTCTTACGCCAATGCCATAAAGAAACAGACTTTCAAAATTACGTGGATTTTATTTTCTAACTATACTTAAAAACGTACGCCATATTGACCTGTTTCATCGTAATATGGTTATCTGAAGACAAAAACAACAAGAAATCCATTTACTTTGCATGTATCATAAATGTCTAGGTTAATTAGTTTCATCCAAAGTTTTCTATAACGAGCAAAGCAGTTTGGTTTTATGTGAAAGCTGACATGCGAATTCCGTGGAAAGACACTTGTAATATTGACACTGACGAGGGCAACTTAAGAAGATGCAAATCTAATGTCTTTGAAATAAAGACGAAATATCGCTTACTTTTTTTCTATATTTTTTGTTTTTACCTTGAATATCAAAAAAACGCGAGATTTCAAGTCTCTGATTTATGTAAACACGAGAAAGTATATTGATACCTCTTGTTATAGCAGATCTTATTCTACAGTGAATGACGAAAGTGCCATGAGAATTTTCTATGTGTAGCCATTGATGCACATTCGAATAATGCTTTTGTGAAACTTTCTTCTTTATTTATTAATTGTCTTAAATGCAAAAAGGAATGTCTAAACGAAGATCGTTGTTCTTTATCACAAATTCATTGTTCTCTCTTTTGTTCGTTATTTTCTATCAATATTTGGTCTCTCAGCCATTTGCAGCTCTCTCTCTTTGCTTTCTAACACGGAATTGTACATTATTACACACATAAAGGAAAAGGTGGGATGATGTTTAATAGCTAATCATAAAGGTTTAACTATATGGGCTTCTTTTGTTTCAGCTTTCCTAAGTAATGTTGTATTATTAAGTATTTATGTAACTATTCTATCCACGAAGTAAGTCGTTGTTTTACTAACTAGAGTATTTCTAAATGAAAACAGAAGAACAGATTCCTATTATATCGCTGATAATTTGTTTAAAGTTGAACTCTTCAAATAGCAAAGTCCATCTATCACGTGCACATCAACACGTGGTATGAATGGTTTCTGTTTACAAAGCTCAACAGCTTTTGTAAACACTTGACTAAATTTGGATAACTTTCTTGAATGTGAAAGTCCCATTGATTGTCTTAGCTAAAGGAAAGAAATAGGAAACTTTGCATTCATTTTTGTTTTCTTTTACTTTTTATAGATAGAATTTTTCAACTTATACCTTAAAACTTAACTCAAATGAAGATTAGATGTTTTGGTGATAAAACTCAGCGTAAATTGACGATGTTTCTCTGATATTTGCTTTGGACTGTGATTAATCACAATAAAATATTTGAATTTTAAAATATTTAGGATTACATCATTTACATGTTGTAAGTTTTTACAATATGAACGCCTCTTTTTCAGAGACAAACGCTGACTTCAACCGTCGTCGTTTATCTGGCAAAGTTAAATAAACAATATTTAACTTACAAATTTCTTAGTTACTAAAGTCTACTCGGCTGTGTTACCGCTACTAACTATGTCCCGTACATCAATCAACGGTGTCGGTATGTAAGTGCATTCAATAGCTGTAAGTGCATTCAATAGCTGTGCATTCAATAGCTGTTGAGGCTATTGAATACTAGCCTAGAAACAGTTAGTAAATGGATTATGAAAATTATATAACTCTTTTAAAGCAGTAAAGCTACTTAGCAAGTCGTCATGAGAATCTGACTTAAGTTAAAGTAAATTGCATATCAAAACTTGGACATAGAACTATAATCAACATAACACTTTATGAAAACCAAACAACTTATCTTTATTTGCCACCACTGAGTTGCTGTTTCGGTCAATCAGTTCACAGGTTCCCATTTTGGTAAACGTTATAGTGGCGAGATAATGTGAACGGTGAACCTACATCGGCTTAGTTGTGGATCACACAACGTGACATAATGTAAAATTCTGGGGACGGTTGCAAGAAGACCGAATAACGATGACAAATTTTTTGAACGTTTAAAAAACGTCTTAAAGGAGAAAAATATAGCATTCAAAATAAGCATTCACTGAAAGAAAATATTGCTTCCAACATTACAAAAATTTCTATGTTGTAAGGAAAATATAAACAATTTTACTATCCATCGGATAAAGCTATCCTGGCTTCTTGCAACCGGCCCCTGACATTTATAACAACCAGAACAATTTAAACTTTAATGCTGTTTTATTGAGTTTTTATGTAACTGGTCTATCGCCGAGATAACTCTTCGTTTTGTATCTAGAGTATTGCTGTATAAAAGCAAAAGAAAAGGCTGCCATAAATAACTGCTGATATAAAGTTTAAATATCGAAAAAATAATCTCTGTCCATACTGTTAATTTATAACTCAAGAGCTCGCGAAAACACTTGAACAAGAGTTGATACTTTCCTTGAATGTGAAAGTCCAATAGATTATTTGAGCTAAAGGAACTGGGAATATTGCATTCATTCGTGTTTTTTCTGTCTGGAACTTCTCAACTTGCGTTAATTAAAATAAAGATTAATGTTTTTGATGATAAAACTAGAGTGAATACACGATGTTTTTAACTCGGACATTTGCTCTGGACTGTGTTTAAATACAATAAAATCTTTGAGTTATAGTATGTTCAGGACTACATGTAGATGTAGATGTACGATGTAACAATATTAAAGCCTCGTTTTCATTTGCAATTGATGACTACTGGCGTCGAGATTTTTACGCATTTCATCGTTTATCTGGCAAAGTCAAACATTAATTCACTGTTCATCTTACGCTTTCCCTCATTAAATCTTTAATGGTTGTCTTACCACAATCAGGTATCAATTTTGATTTATATGTTACAAGCTTGTTATTAATTGATTAGTGTTTTGAAACTAAAACATGAGAAATATCTAATTGGTATTACTTATTTTTATTAAGCTTACAGTACGGAAACATGTAAATTTTTGATACTTGATCTATAGGATATTTAGCTGTAGACTTAAGACTCAAATTACCATAAAATCTTTGCTTCTTTCTGTAGCAAAAAAGCAAAAATATTTCAATGTTCTGTGCATTATCTGTTTATGATATTTCCTGTAATATAATACACTGCTCATCTTACGCGTTCCTTTAGCAAATCTATAATTTATGCTAAGAATAAAAAAATCTACATAATACGGACAGTTAAAAAGCGCCAGACTGGAGGTGTTGGTATCTAAAAGTGTCGGTGTTTTTCACAAGAAGGTTCAGAAGAAGAAAAGAAAATGAAGTTTGTTATTCTGCAAGTTCTTTTTGCCGTTGTGGCTGTCTTGCCACAATCAGGTATTTATATTGAGAAGCTACGAGTTTCTTATAAAGTAGAACCCGAGTACAACAATCCGGCTAGATTTTAAGAACCTAGCTATTGGGCTAAAATTTCTGATCTACACACTCAATATGTAAGATAAATCAAACACGTTCTTTTTTCATCATTACAACTTCAAGATATTAAACTCTTCAAAGAGTAATGAAAACAGCCCATAAATATGTCTTTATTAAAAGAATATAATGCCGAAAATGACTCGCATTTTCTTTAGAAAAGCGTAATCTATTCCAGAACATATGTTCATTGCAATGAGCTTTTTTTAGTCTTATACTTGAAAAATCTATGTTTTAATTATTATATACGTGAAGTTTTGCTGAAATTAATGCTTCAACATAAAGCAAGAGTTAGTATTTGATTGGTATCATTGATTTCATTAAGCTTACAGTTCAGGATTTGGAAAGACTCGCATCCTCAAGACTGAATATCATCCGAATGCGATGCAAATCATGGAAATTCTGAAGGAAGTTGATTTGGAACGTTTTGGCTTTAACAAAACAACTGAAATTGTAACGGAAAAAGATGAGAACGGAAAAACAACAGAAAAGAAAACGCTCCATTACAAAGTCACCGACGACTGCTCCAAGATAAAGTATTGGAAATCAATTTTGGAAGAGCGCATGCCCAAAGGTTGGAAGAAATGGTCAGGGATAACTGTGGTAAACAGACGTATTGTTGGTGGTAAAACAAACCAGTGTGAATTTGGTCTGGAATTTCATCCTAAAGGTGGCTTTCCTCAACAGATGGAGTCGGATAAGAGAAGCATGTCTAAAAGCAGTTATTGCTACTATTGTTACTGCTCGGTATGCTATCATTATTCAGTTGGTTATTACCGTTGTTACTGCTCGATATGCTGCTACTGATAAAAACATTTAGTTTTTGCCACAACTCAGGTGTTCAAAAGGATTTTTTCGTAACATTATTTCCATAGTGCATTGTTTGTAGCCTAGATTTCTTATGAAATAAAGAAAATGAAGAAGCACAATTTCGAAAAATCTATTTTTATTCTTAAGCATAAATTCAACGTTAACATTTCGATTTTCCCGTGGTAAAGTATTTGAAAACCTTTACAGAGCATACAAATAAGGCTACTGCTACATGGCTAATCCCAAGCATAAAAGTCCTTCCAATTGCGTTGACACATTTTGGGATCAATTGCTGCTATATAAATCATACAAATTCCATTATTTTACCTTTATCTGGCTTTGTAGGCTCGTGCCATTCGTCTCTTTGTAAGGAATATCTTATTATTGGCAGTGGCGTAGCTCGGAAAATAGTAACTCCCGCCCAGCCGTGTCGCGCCTCCCACTAAGGGGTCCGGGGACATGCTTCTCCGGAAAATTTTGAAATCCAGAGCCATGGAAACAGCATTTCCTGCGATTTGTATGGCGAATTATTTGTTGTACAATAAGTTATAAAACCCGTTTTTATTAGCTGCATTCTTAAAGCGGCAATCGTCGAAACTGCAAGTAGTTAAAAAGGTATTAAAGGTGGCTCAGAGAAACGTTACGCTGGAGACAATTGTCCCCTAAAACATAATGAATCAAACTCATCACTGCCCCTGAATAAACAGAGCAAATTTGGATTAGCACAAAAACAACATAGTATACGACACTTCCTAAAATGCATAGGGAGAGATTGTTCTTAGCATTCCACTTGTTAGTTTACACTTGTTTGGATTTGAGCAGGTAGACAGGAATGGCTTTATTCTTTAAAGTTATGCTTGGTTTTCTTAATGAAGTACCATTCATTATAAGAACAAATATCAAAGCACATACGATACCCATCATTTATAAAGAAAGGCCAGCCTCCTGATATTTATACCTCCATATTTTGAAAAAGCTCATACAAGACTTCTATATTTTTTTCTATACCCTACGTGCAATGTTGTTTATATAAACTAAACAAATACTACATATAAATAAAGTGAAAGTTACATGTTATGCTTACGTGTCGGCTTCACTAAATTCGAATATTCCAAGCAGCACTTAATATAATTGGACCACAGCAGGAGAGTCTAAGCCTTGGCTCTAATTATACAATTAAAGCAATTTTATG